AATAAAGTGGCAGGTACATTATGTGGCCTCTTGAGGCGGAATAATGAGTCTTGGGGTCGAATAAAATAAAATTTTAATGTAATTACTAATTATCGACAGTAAAGATGGTGCTACTATGATAAACCGGCACTGACCAGAAGTGATAGGTGGTTGTTAGAGAGGTGGCAATAAGGGTTCGGTGTAAAATGGCTTTAAATATTTTGTTATTGTTGACACAGTGCAGTGTGAGACCAACATAGAGGTAAATTCCTAATTTCACGTGAGGGACGCATTCGCTTCACAGAAGGGCCAAATGCGGCCCTCTGGCCGCATCTTTGAGCAAAGCTCAGACCTCAAAAACACAATTCCCCTCAAAGATTTGTTAAGTTATACCATGAATTAAGGAAAGATCCTGGACTTCACCTTATGAAACAGACAAAGAAAATGTGATAGTAATTATAGACAAGGTAGATTATAGTGCAAAAATGAACATGTTATTAGAAGACTGAGGAAACTTAGGTGCCTCTTAATGTTCTGTTATGTCTATAACACCTGAGTGCCATCAATATAATTGCTCAGAATTTGCATGTTATAGACACATGAAACTGGTCAATCTTACTTAGGAATAGTCTAGATTGTTTTTGGCCTGTGTAGGTTTCATTTTTTTAGGGGGGGGGGGATAAATTGAAGAAAATGGAATACAGCTTACCATGCGATAATTTCTGAGCATCGCTTCTGATTAGCGTCAAGAATTCCATGGTGATTATTTCATAACACAACATCTGAGCGGCTTCAAGCTTGATGTGCTTGTGTATTTTAGAATATTGGTCTCTTTGGTCCCTCTGAAATTTGGAAATTAGTTTTGTTATGATGACTTGTGAATGTGTCTTCTGATGCCCCTCAATTTTTCAACAACATTACCAACTTATGCCGCACTCTGCACTGTTTCAGTCGCGTGTATTAAAGTACAAGAGGCTGGAGTTTGGAATACGGGTTTATTTACTTTTCCTTGGCTCGAACAGCGACAGAAATACATCTAGTTGAGTCTAATTTTGACACCTTGTAAATGTAAGGATCATTTTTTTAGGTCTTCTGTCAGTCATTACATTATTTTTTAAATATTTTTTTCGGGATCATTTTTCATCATTAGGAGAAAATTATTTTTTTCTAATTTCAACACTGCCTAAAATGGTATGTTTGATTTATTTTAGTTTACTCTTATTAAATACATTTTTAGTGTGTTTTGAAATCTTGTTCAAATAAAAGAAAAAATCAGAAGAAAAACTGGTTACAGTAAGACAGGAACAATAATCAACAATACTTAGTATAATAATCAGTAAAGTGAAATTGGCAACTTAGCAATCCGACACTAGTGTCCACCGACTTCGTGTGTCTCTCAAACCCGCTGACCCCTCAGGGAAGGTTCCTTGATGTTGGTGAGGGGCTCTTGATTTAGGGAATTTGATCTGTGCTCCAGTTCCCCGAATTAAGCCTGAATGCCTTCCACATCCCCCCCAGGCGCTGTATAATCCTACGGGTTTAGCGCTTCCCCTTGATTATAATAATAATAATCAAACCCGCTGAGCTACGGAGCGTCTAACAGGAAGGTTTCACAGTAGCCACCTTCTGTAACACTACTCTCCTTTCCCACAACCACAGTAGTTTCCACAGTAAATCTGTCCTCACCTCCCTCAAAAACCACATTCTATGAACTCAGTTTAAGTTGTAACGAACGACTGTCAATGAATAAACTGTGGAAACTACTGTGGATGTGGGCATGGACAGAAGGGTCACTGATGGTAGTCGCTGACACAGACAGAACACATCAGTGCCTTCTATGATACTATCCTCGTAGCTTAACGGTAAAGCACTGTTAGTCTTAGGACCATGTCCCAGCCCCATATTCACCTGTCTGCTTATTCACTGACAGTCGTAGTAGCAGTAGTAGAAGAGGTTGTAGTATATGGGAAAGCGCTAAGCTCACTAGGGTCATGGATCGCCTGGAGAATGGGTTGCACTCAGGTTGGAACAGAGGAAAGGGAAGACAAATTCAATTTCTTGGAACAAGGGAACCTCACTAACGTTAATGAACCTACTTTGAGAGGGAAAGCTTCTATGTAATTCTTAAGAAATAGTCCTCTTAGTTATAAACTTTCAGCGCTGGTGGAGCTGAGAGGAAACTTACTATTCTAAGTTTTCTCTGGGGGTGACAGTCTGATCATTCTGTTTTAACTGAAATTACAGGAAGGATACTGAAGAAAATAGTGAAAAACCTTCTTTTTTTACTATGAAAGGAAAACCGAAAAAGCAATGAAAATTTATCTCTTCAGTTTAACACGACTCATCAAATCGTAATGACACGCTTGCAAGCAAACCATACCACGGGCGGGGTTAGAACCCGCGATCAGACAGTCATAAAACTCCAGACCGACGCGTTAGCCACTTGCCGAGTGGCTAACGCGTTGGTCTGGAGTTGTATGACTCTGATCGCGGGTTCTAACCCCGCTCGTGGTATGGTTAAAATGCAGTTTAGTCTTCCTAGGATGCGAGATACAATTTTTCAGCACTTTTCTAATTATTCATTTTTTGTAGTTTATCACTATATTTATGAATTTGTAACAGTTATATGATGATGTGTTTCACGATGTGGCTGACACGAAACATGGATACATATACTGTGTCATATCATGCATCTTAGATTTGTACAGTGTCCCTTTACGCTTTCTCCATTTTCTAATTGCACTAATATTTTTCGCTGTTCGGTGGTATTAAGCTGAGCTTCTCGATAGTTCCTGAACCTTTTAGAAACATTGAGTCTTATCTTGTAGGTCTCTTGAAGGATTTAAACAAGCTATTTTGCTTCAGTCCTCCCTAGATAGCTAGTAGCTATCTAGGGAGGCCTGAGTACAGGGGGCCGAGGATACATGGTCTGGGGGGATACCCATCAGTCGTGCAGTGATCATAACTCGTGCAGTTTCACTGAGAGTCGTCATAGAATACTCATGGCAGCAGAATTTTTTTCCATTACTCCTGCTGTATAAAATACTCTCTCACCACCACTCACATATTGTAAACACTAGGATATACTGATCCAACATAATAAATTGACCGCCAAGATAAAGCGGCCACCAGAATATAGAAACTACCAGGACTCTGCACGGGCAGGATCAGGGCCAAGGGTAGGCAGGGGAAGAGTTGCTGTAATATTATACATCAGTTCAAATATCACCTGTGGAAAACAACACTGCCAATGTCGCTATAAATATTTTCTCATTCATTATTAAATTGTAAAAATGTGTGTAGTGAATAAACTGCAGATGCGACTCATGGGAAATAAATATTTGTTTTCAGAATGACAATACAACATAAAAAGAGTGTTAGGGTCATACAGTACCTGCAGAATGGGAAGTAATTATGTTTCTTACAAGAAAGAGGTTCTAATTACTTGGATCAAGTACTCTTCACCAGTATGAAAGCCCTCTTAAATAGGCAGTCTGAAATAACACCATATCTTTCATCATATTGACTGGGTTAACTCCAAGGATGTAAACATCTCATCAAGTGAGAGGTGAAAATGGTTATGTTGTTGATCCCAAAAACGAGAATGACAAGTTGTATCATGATTTCTTTTATTTTTTTATCAAGCAGGAGGGAGGAGTCCTGAAGTGGCCTTGTCCTGAAGAAGGTAGTTCATATATAAGTAGACCGCCGCTTCCTCAGCACACATCTACCTCTGCTAAGGTGAGTGCTGAACGAAGGCTTGGAGAACTAGTACCTGAAGTCAATCCAATGATATTGTATCACAATATATTTTTTGTGACACTCTCCCATTTCTCTTACATTTTTCCACACTAAATTCCATCCTCCATGTCTCACTTCACTAAATCTACCCAGATCTTCTTTTAGATTAATAAAGTTTTTCCTCGCTTGTATCCTCGTCATAATTTTTGGATCATCTGAGAAAACCGACGCATTATAATATATTCAAACTAGTATACTTATATTTGTAACAAAATGGGTGGTAACATTAGCCCCCGAGGGACTCCACTAGTTATATTCTAACACCCAGATATTTTATTTTTCATATATTCTGGTGGTGTCGCTATTATTGCTTCATCACTTAACAAAGACCTCACAAACAAAGGTTTCATTTTTACTTCAGATATGAAAATATCTGAAGTAAAAAGACACTCAAAAAATAAATAAATACCGAGACTGTTATAGCTGCTAAACTCTGTGTATTTCTCTGGGAAAACTCGCCAAGTATTGAATAACTTGATACAATCTGATTAAGTAAAAATTTATAATAATCGTGACGGTGATTTTGATGAATTTCAGTAAATCACACTTAATTTCTATATATTGCTAACGAAGTTGCACTTAAATAAAAAAAACGAATCTGTTAACTAACTCTGAGATCAGGATAATGGTAGAACTAACTGTATGTGGTTAAAAATTATAGTGCTGGTAGATTTATGCAGTGAAAGTAGAGTGCGGGTTATTTATGTATTGTTCCGGTCACGATATTGTGCTCTTCAGTTCTTCGAGATGAGTTGTTTGTGCGTTTATTATTTTTAACTAAGAAAGTTTTTAACATTTGCCGCCATTATTGACAATATTCAGTTATACTAAAATATGTCTACTATCAAAAATCAGTTTGTTACTACCGTGACTATTTCACTGTCACGATATAATCACGGTAGAGAAAATTTTGAAACAGCGCAGTTCTAGCCTTAGCCAAGATTCATTTCCTGTCGCAGGTTTAGTTTACGTCACTGGAAATTTTGGCAAATTAGGAAATCTCTCTGTTATTTAGGCCGAATAAGTGAGTTACTGAGGATACCTAAACTCCATCACGAAAGTTAAAAAAAAACTCTGCTTCGCGGGTGTTCAGACCTCACTAACACGGTAAGAGGACCCAACAGAGAGAGACCAAACTCTGCCACAGGAAGGGGCAGCCATGCAATGACAGATACTGAAGTGGCTCGAAAATCTGTATAAATATTTTTCGTACTCTCCAGATGAAGCTGTTGTTACTGGTGACTCTGGTGGGGCTGGTGAGGTGTCAGTCCCAGGGTCCTACTGACGGCCAGGTAAGCTTTCTACATGCACATTGCATACACATTTAATAACACTATTTTTTTTAAATTCTCACATCTCCATATTCATTTATATTTGATTCAGTTACACCAAAACGAAAACACGATCTGTGAAAATGGATTCTGGTACCGTAACGTTATTTTTATATTGTTAATATAAGGTAAGACAAATTTCGTTTGGATTTTTAACCCCGGAGGGTTAGCCACCCAGGATAAGCCAAGAAAGTCAGTGCGTCATCGAGGACTGTCTGTCATATTTCCATTGGGGTCCTCAATATTGTTCCCCAGGATGCCACCCACACCAGTCGACTAATACCCAGGTACCTATTTGCTGCTAGGTGAACAGGACAACAGGTGTAAGGAAACGGGTCAAAATGTTTCTACCCCTCCGGGAATCGAACCCGCCCCCTCCGTGTGTGAAGCGACTTAATGCGAGAACAAGTTGCTTTATTTAGTCACAGCAGGTAGTGTATACAACATGATTTATTAACCACTAAACCATAAAATATTAACCACTAAATCATGAAATATTAACCACTACGCCATGCATTAACCATTACATTATTCGATATTTACCACAACATCGTGTATTATTACCCACTAAATTATGCATCCTCAAAAAAATCCACCATTAATTTTTTTATAAACACGACGTTGCCAAAATGTGAATCAAAAATTACATTAGTGAGTATTGGATTCCACTCTAATAATAATAATAATAATGATAATAATAATAATAATAATAATAATAATAATAATAATAATAATAATAATAATAATAATAATAATAATAATAATAATAATAATAACTCACGAAATCGTAATAGCACGACTGCAGACAAATTAGAGAGAGGGTTGGGCTTGTACCCGTATATGTGAAATTAACGAACTCGCTCTAAATGCACTAACTCTTCAAGCTCAAACTGCAGTTCTGCCAAATCTGCGTGCAAATTCTTATGTGTATATATTATACACAAATTTGTAATATGCGTGAGATCCTTTTACAACTTCCGATAAGCATTTAATAGCATTTAATAAGCACTGCGGGTTGCAGGCTGTGGCTATCAGCTCCCCTGAAAAACTCAGTTTACATCCATTTTATTACTGGAAGACGTCAACTTCTGGTTTACATGTTACTTTACTTGCATGTTGCTGTAAACAGATTTTTGTCCTTACAATAGATATCTTTAAATAATAATAATGCTTTTATATAACTGGGAAGTTATAGAAAATGGAAAATAATATAAATAAATACGAGTGATTACAAATATTTATTTTGCAAAAAGGGCCAGAGCTTGCTATCACCTGCAGATCACATGATTGTCATTCCCATGAGTGTGCCCCTGGGGCAGGGAAGATGGCAGACCAGAGGCCAAGCTTCTCCCTACAAGCCCTGTTAGGGCAGAGTATGGGGCTAGGCATAGGGACAACTAGTTCCAGAAGATGAGGAGGTACTTGTACTTCCTCCCAGTGCCAGATATAGGTCTCAGATACTCCCAAGTCAGGGAGCCAAGGCCGGGTCACCATCTGGGAAAGACCCGGGGCGGGGGAGTACCGACGAATCAGGAAGAAGAAGTATTTATTTTACTAATAAGGAAGGTATTGGAATATCCAGTTACTAATAAAGTATTACTAATGCAAGGTTACTCTGAGGAAAATAATATATAGTAATTGCTTGAGTAATGGGAGATTTATCTGTATAATCAGTTAGTTGACTATACGTAGTTCACTTACAAGGTTCCATTGGTCTGTAGCTCTGCTCACGGTCAAGGCTCAGCCTCTCCTATCAGTTGATAAATTAGACACATGTGCATCACTTGGGTATCTTTCTGAGAAAACGTTTAGCCACACAGTGGCTTCATTAGTCCAAAACAAATGTGAATAGTGAAGATCAGAAGGAGTGTCAGGTAATAAGTCTCTCAGCCTAGAGTCAGTGTATTCAGCCCATCATTCTTGAAAAGACTGTAATATATGAGCGAAGAAAGGGCTTATACACCGCAGGCAGGCGAGGTGAAACTACATACCTGACATGTCTTGGTTAAGAAGGTGGAATTTATTGACATTGGGAGACTGCTCTCAATGCTTTTTTTGGTTGAGTCACAAATGATATTTCTGTTGTGAAATGTGGACATAAACCTAGCTGTGTAAATATGATCTGTACCGTCAAAGTGATAACTAATGAATAAAATATTATTCCGAGTGTAAATTATTCTTTGTTACAAATGACTTTGACAATAACAACTAATTGAGTGTGTGTTGAAGGTTGACGACACCCGCGGTGGAAGTCAATACTACTTCTCCTGGAAACACGATGGTGGCAAGGACTACACTGGTACTGCTGCCGCCAGCTTGTGTTCCAGTCTGGGTAGCGGGTGGCAGGCTGTGGGTATCAGCTCCCAGGAAGAACTCAATTACATCCATAGCATTATTGAAGGAGGTTAGCTTCTACTGTAGTTGTTGCTTTTCTTGCATATTGTTTTAAACTGCAGGCTTTTATTTCCTTGCAAGAGATATCTTTTCTAAATAAAAATATCTCTTTTTTTTTGTGAACAGAGAGACTGGACTACGTCTGGACTGGTGGCCAGAAATCTGGGAGCATCTTCAAGTGGCTGAATGGCGAGCCTTTCAGTGTTACTGGCTGGTCACACACCGGAGGGTAAGTTGCCTACAGTCACACATGGACACATACACACACGCTAAGGGCACTGGAAAAGAAGGTCAAGGGAACATATGTATATAAGAAAATACTGAAAAAATAGATTAGTTCCATAAGGAAAAATTGTTCGAGAGGTGATAAACGGGAATAAAGACACAAAACTCGAAGTCTTGGACTCAAAGGAGTTACGGGATGTCAGGAAGTGTAATTTCAGCCTTAGTGTGGTCATACAGTCTAATAGCTGAATGAAAAAGTTGTGGAACTAAACTCCACGAGAAGTTCACGAGGTTAAAAATGAGTGTACCAGCTCACGTCCATTTAAAAGACCTGATTAGGGGCTCAGAATCAACTCTAAAATAAGAAGATACATAACAATCTATTCTTGTTGACACGTTATTACATACAAAATCAAGGAGCCCAGAACTAAACGTTATTAGTTACACTCACCGTAATACTTAATTCATTACCGTTACTCCTTTCTTTCTGTTTGTCAGTTATTTCTCTTATCCATGCTAATGCTCTTCTTGTTATATTATCTTTAATGTGTAATGATTTAAAACGTTTCTGCTAGGAATGTGCAGATCATTTATTCATTACCTGACTGACTAATGTCAGACACTAGAAAATGATGGAATGATATTCTTTTTTTCTGGAATACTGTAAGAAATCCTAAGATACGGTGCCACATAGAAGAATACTTAGCAATCTAAAAATTCTAGAAACTTTACAAATTAATTTGACAACTAAAGATGGAAGAAACGATACCAGGAACATAGCTCTGTTTCTGTAACTAGAAATAGGCAATTACGAATAAGTAATATTATTTTTTCAACGAACCAGCCGTATCCCACTGAGGTAGGGTGGCCTAAAAAGAAAAACGAAAGTTTCTCTTTTTAACTTTAGTAATATATTCAGGAGAAAGAGTTACTAGCCCCTTGCTCCCGACATTTTAGTCGCCTCCTACAACACGCATGGCTTACGGAGGAAGAATTCTGTTCCACTTCCCCATGGAGATAAGAGGAAATAAACAAGAACAAGAACTAGTAAGAAATTAGAAGAAAATCCAGAGGGGTGTGTATATATGTGCGTGTACATGCATGTGTAGTTTCACCTAAGAACAAGTAGAAGTAGCAAGATATATCTGGTATCCGGCTTGTTTATGAGACAGAATACTGCCAGCAATACTACCATCATGTAAAACAATTACAGGTTTCCGTTTCACATTCACTTGGAAGGACGGTAGTACCTCCCTGAGTGGCTGCTGTCTACCAACCTACTACCTAGGTGGTACTAAAATATAAGTAATAAAAGTAAGTAATCACACACACACACACACACACACACACACACACACACACACACACACACACACACACACACACACTGCAATGGATCAGAGAATACCTGACAGGGAGGCAAGGACGAGTCATGGTACGTGACGAGATGACAGAGTGGCGCCTGTTACGAGCGGGGTTCCACAGGGATCAGTCCTAGGACCAGTGCTGTTTTTGGTATATGTGAATGATATGACGGAAGGGACAGACTCGTAAGTGTCCCTGTTTGCAGATGATGTGAAGTTAATGAGGAGAATCAAATATGATGAGGATCAGGCTAGATAGCCAAAGATTGCAAACCTCACTCAAGGAAAGGGATCTTGGGGTGAGTATAATACCGAGGACATCTCCTGAGGCGCACATCAACCAGATAACTGCTGCAGCATATGGTCGCCTGGCAAACCTAAGAATAGCGTTCCGATACCTTTGTAAGGAATCGTTCAAGACACTGCACACCGTGTACGTCAGGCTCATATTGGAGTATGCAGCACCAGTTTGGAACCCACACCTGGTCAAGTACGTCAAGAAATTAGAGAAAGGGCAAAGGTTCGCAACAAGACTAGTCCTAGAGCTAAGGGGAATGTCTCGCGAAGAATGGTTAAGGGAAATCGGTCTGACGACATTCAGGGACAGGAGGGTACGGGGAGATATAATAGCATATAAAATACTGCGAGGAATTGACAAGATGAACAAAGGATGTTCCAGAGATGGGACAGAGAAACAAGGGGTCGCAGATGAATTTTAGGAAATATTTCTTTTATCATAGAGTTGTCAGGAAGTGGAATAGTCTGGACAGTGACGTTGTGGAGGCAGGAACCATACATAGTTTTAAGTCGAGGTTTGATAAAGCTCATGGAACAGAGAGAGAGAGAGAGAGAGAGAGGACCTAGTAGCGATCAGTGAAGAGGCGGGGCCAGGAGCTATGGCTCGACCCCTGCAACCACAAATAAATGAGTACAAATAGGTGAGCACACACACACACACATATTAGGAAGTATTTCTTCAGTCATAGAGTTGTCAGGAAGGGGAATAATCTAGAAAGTGATGTAGTGGAGGCAGGATCCATACATTGCTTTAAGAAGAGGTATGATAAAGCTCATGGAGCAGGAATAGTGGCCTAAATAACGACAGTGAAGAAGTGGGATCAGGAGCTATGATTCGACCCCTGCAACCACAACTAGGTGAGTACAACTAGGTGAGTACACACACACACACACACACACACACACACACACACACACACACACACACACACACACACACACACAGTTCCACACAAGAGATAAGTGCAAAAGCTGGAAGACCAGGCAGGTATAACATGGAAGGCACTGCAATAGATCAGAGAATACCTGACAGAAATACATCAGCGAGTCATGTGTCAGAGAGGGCGTCTCTGAAGAGTGGGGCTCCATAGGGGTCATTCCTAGGACCGGTGTTGTTTCTGATATATGTGAATGACAAGACGGAAGGAATAGACTCAGAAATGTCCCTGTTTGAAGACGATGCGAAGTTAATGAGGAAAATTCAATCGGAGGAGGACCAGGCAGGACTACAAAGAGATCTGGACAGGCTGCAGGGTTGGTCCAGAAACTGGCTCATAGAGTTCAACCTCATTAAATGCAAAGTCATGAAGACTGGGGAAAGGCAAAGAAGACCGCAGACAGAGTACAGTCTAGGGGGCCAAAGACTACAAACCTCACTCAAGGAAAAGGATCTTGCGGCGAGTATATTACCGAATACATCTCTTGAGGCGCACATCAACCAAATAAATGCAGCAGCATATGGGCGCTTAGCAAACCTAAGAATAGCATTCCGACATCTCAGTAAGGAATCATTCAGGACAGTGTACACCGTGTACGTCAGGCCAATATTGGAGTATGCAGCTCCAGTTTGAGACCCACACCTCGACAAGCATGTCAGGAAATTAGAGAAAGTGCAAAGGTTTGCAACGATACTAGTCCAAGAGCTATTGGGATATCCTACGAGGGAGAGGTTAAGAGAACTCGACCTGATGACACTGGAGGGCATGAGGGACAGGGCGGATATGATAAAGACAAATAAAATACTGAGAGGAATCGACAAAGTGGACAGAGACAGAATTTTCGAGAGATAGGACACAGCAACATGGGATCATAATTGGAAGCTGAAGTCTCAGATGAGTCACAGGGATGTTAGGAAGTATTTATTCAGTCATAGTGTTGTCAGGAAGTGGAATAGTCTGGAAAGTGATGTACTGGAGGCAGGATCCATACATAGCTTTAAGAAGAGGTATGTTAAAGCTGATGGAGCAGGGAGAGCAACCTAGTAGCGACTAGTAAAGAGGCGGGGCCAGGAGCTGTGACTCGATCCTTTCAACCACAATTAGGTGAGTACACACACACACATACACACACACACATACACACACACACATACACACACACACACACACACACACACACACACACACACACACACACACACACACACACACACACACACACACACACACACACACACACACACACACACACACACACACACACAATAAGTGGGAAGAGTGGCACGAAAAAATCACAGAGGCGTCACCAGATATCATAGCCCTCACAGAAACCAAGCTCTCAGAAATGATAACAAATGCCATGTTTCCAGTTGGATATCAGATTCTGAAGAGAGAAAGAGGGAACAGTGGGGGGAGGGGGGATGGAGGAGTGGCACTGCTCATCAAAATCCAATGGGATTTTGAGAAGTTGGAGAGAGAGGAGATAGGAGGAGCAATGGACTTCCTAATAGGTACACTTCAGGCTGGAGATCCCTCGGTGGTGAATGCAGTGATGTATAACCCATCAGTGAATAGGAGGAAGGCCAAGACAAGAATATGATGAGAGCAACAGAGAGATGTGGCCAGAAGGGCCCATGTAGGCAGGGCAAAGCTAGTGTGTGACTTCCATCACAAAGAAATCGACTGTGAAAACCTGGAGCCACATGGGGGCCCAGAAACTTGGAGGGCTAAAATGTTGGAGGCGGTACTGGAAGATCGCGTGCATCATCACATTAGTGATACTTCCAGAGAGAGTGGAGAGGATGAACCAGCAAGACTGGACCTAGTATTCACCTTGAGTAGTGCAGATATTGAGGACATCAGATATGAAAGGCCCCTCGGAGCAAGTGATCACGTGGTTCTAAGCTTTGTATACATAGTAGAGTTAAAGTGGAGAGGGAAGCAGGAAGGGCAGGAAGAAACAAACTACAAGAAAGGGGAATACGCAGGCATGAGAAATTTCTTGCACTAGGTCCAGTGGAACAGAGAACTGGCAGAGTAAACAGTAAATGAAATGATTGAATATGTGACATCGATATGCAAGGAAGTGGAGGAGAGGTTTGTACCCAAGGGCAACAGACTTAATGAGAAGGCCAGGACGAGCCCTTGGTTCTCACAAAGGTGTAGAGAGGCTAAAACCAACTGCGTTAGCGAATGGAAGAAGTATAGAAGGCAAACGGACCCGGGAGAACAAGGAAAATAATCGAAGAGCAAGAAATGGATATTCACAGGTAAGAAGGGAGGCCCAACGACAATTTGAAAATGACATAGCAGCGGAAACCAAGTCTGACCCGAAGCTGTTGTACAGTCACATCAAGAAGTAAATAGCCGTCACAGACCATGTAATCAGGATGAGGAAGGAAAGAAGGAGGGGAGTTTACAAGAAACAACCTTGAAGTTTGTGAGGAGTTCAACATGAGATTCAAAGAAGTAGTCACATTGAAGACAGAAAAGACTCCAGAAAGACGGAGAGGTGGGATATACCAACAAGTGCTGGACATTGTATATACAACCACGGAGGAGGTGAAGGGGCTACAAAGCGAACTGGATAACTTAAAGGCAGTGGGGCCAGATAGTATCTCTCCTTGGGTTCTGAGAGAGGAAGCAGAGGAGCTCTACGTACCGCTAACAACAATCTTCAACACATGTCCTGAAACATGTCGACTACCTGAGGAATGGAAGACAGCCAATGTAGTCCCAATTTTTAAAAAAGGGGATAGACACGCAGCATTAAACTACAGACTAGTGTCACTGACATGTATTGTATGCAAAGTTATGGAAAATGTTATCAGGAGAATAGTGATGGACCCCCTAAAAAGGAATGAGCTTACAAACGACAATTAGCACGGATTCAGAGACGGAAAATCTTGTGTCACAAACCTACTAGAGTTCTATGACAAGGTAACAGCAGTAAGACTAGAGGGAGAAAGAGGTGGGTCGATTGTGTTTTCTTTGTCTGTAAGAAGGCTTTTGATATAGTTCCACACAAGAGATTAGTGCAAAAGCTGGAGGACCAGGCAGGTATAACAAGGAAGGCAGCAGCGAATCGTGGTAAATGATGAAGTGGCAGAGTGGGCCCCTGTCACGAGCGGGCTTCCACAGGGGCCAGTCCTAGGACCGCTGCTGTTCCTGGTATATGTGAATGACATGACAGAAGGAATAATTATAATAATAATAATAATAATAATAATAATAATAATAATAATTATAATAATAATAATATCTTTATTTCTACAAGTACATGTACAAGGTATGCAGGCCTAGCTGACATCAATGACATACTACTGCACAGAAAGTTCCTTGGTATGCAGAGCATTTCGAGCAAATTAGATCAGTTTTGTCCCAGGATGCGACCAACACCAGTTGACTAACACCCAGGTACCCATTTTATGCTGATGGGTGAACATGGACAGCAGGTGTCTTATGGAAACACGTCTTAATGCTATCCAGCCTTACAGGGGATTCAATCTCCGGACCTCAGTGTGTGAGCTGAGTATGTTAGCGATCGAGCTACGGGACTTCGAGGGTGTATAAATCTGTAGCGGAGGAAAGGTGGGGCAGGGGTCGGCCGAGGAAAGGTTGAACGGAGGGGGTAAAGGAGGTTTTGTGTGCGAGGGACTTGGGCTTCCAGCAAGCATGCGTGAGCATGTTAGGTAGGACCGATTGGAGACAAACGGTTTTTAGGGCTTGACGTGCTGTTGGAGTGTGAGCAAGGTAACATTTATGAAGGGATTTATGGAAACCGGCAGGCCGAACTAGAGTCCTGGAGATGGGATGTACAGTGTCTGCACTCTGAAGGAGGGGTGTTAATGTTGCAGTTTTATAACTGTAGTGTAAACGCGCCTCTGGTAAGACACTGATGGAGTGAATGATGGTAAAAGTTTTTTTCTTTTTCGGGCCACCCTGCCTTGGTGGGAGACGGCCGATGTGATAAGGGCATTTGCATATATGAAACAGGCAAATTTAACCAAATTTATTCTCGCAACATACAAACAAATTTGTTAAACATATGTTGTGCAACATTAAGTATATTATAATGTTTATTAGGAGGTAATCATTATTGTCAGTGTACAGAAGGAAAAATAAATCGTGAGTGTTGTTGTGTTTGTTGCAGACTCCGCAAACCTCAGCCAGACAACCGTGAAGGTGGCAAGGAGAACTGCCTGGCCATCCTCAACAACTTCTACAAGGATGGCATCAAGTGGCACGACGTAGCCTGCCACCACCTGAAGCCCGTCATCTGTGAACGTCGAGCTTAATGCCACCTGCCACCTGCATAATTTATCACCTCTCCCCTCACTTTCTCTCACCCATCTCTTCAGAGTTTCTCACTGAATCTCTCGCTTCTGGATGACTGTGAGATTCGAGCATAACTCTAACTCTGAATAGTATCTCTCTCTCTCTCTCTCTCTCTCTCTCTCTCTCTCTCTCTCTCTCTCTCTCTCTCTCTCTCTCTCTCTCTCTCTCTCTCTCTCCCCGCATCTTTCGTACCGTAGGTGGGTAATAGTCCTTAGAAACAGCTTGGCCGTTCAATTACTTGGACACCGACTCCAATTCTGTAGTGTTTATTTATTCATAATATTGCTATCGTCATGTAATTTAGTACCACTGGAAAAATAAATACGATAAGTGTTTAAATGGATGTAGTAATTTTGTTCCCATTTTGTTCAGTTACCCCTGAATGTGTGTACCTGGCCTTTATTACTGTTATGTGTGTGTGTACCTGGCCTTTGTTCTTGTTATGTGTGTGTGTACTTGGCCTTTATTACTGTTATGTGTGTGTGTACCTGGCCTTTGTTCTTGTTATGTGTGTGTGTACCTGGCCTTTATTACTGTTATGTGTGTGTGTACCTGGCCTTTGTTCTTGTTATATGTGTGTGTACCTGGCCTTTGTTCTTGTTATGTGTGTGTGTACCTGGCCTTTATTACTGTTATGTGTGTGTGTACCTGGCCTTTGTTCTTGTTATATGTGTGTGTACCTGGCCTTTGTTCTTGTTATGTGTGTGTACCTGGCCTTTGTACTTGTTATGTGTGTGTGTACCTGGCCTTTATTACTGTTATGTGTGTGTCTTCCTAGCCTTTATTACTTGCTTCCTAGCCTTTATTCCTGGGTTCCTAGTCTTTATTCCTGGCTACCTAGCCTTTATTCCTGGCTTCCTAACCTTTATTCCTGGCTACCTAGCCTTTATTCCTGGCTTCCTAGCCTTTATTCCTGGCTACCTAGCCTTTATTCCTGGCTACCTAGCCTTTATTCCTGGCTACCTAGCCTTTATTCCTGGCTACCTAGCCTTTATTCCTGGCTACCTAGCCTTTATTCCTGGCTTCGTAGCCTTTATTCTTGGCTTCGTAGCCTTTATTCCTGGCTACCTAGCCTTTATTCCTGGCTACCTAGCCTTTATTCCTGGCTACCTAGCCTTTATTCCTGACTTCCTAGCTTATATTCCTGGCTTCCTAGCCTTTATTCCTGACTTCCTAGCCTTTATTCCTGACTTCCTAGCCTTTATTACTGGCTTCCTAGCCTTTATTCCTGACTTCCTAGCCTTTACTCCTGGCTTCCTAGCCTTTATTCCTGGCTTCCTAGCCTTTATTCCTGGCTTCCTAGCCTTTATTCCTGGCTTCCTAACCTTTATTCCTGGCTTCCTAACCTTTATTCCTGGCTTCCTAACCTTTATTCCTGGTTTCCTAACCTTTATTCCTGGCTTCCTAACCTTTATTCCTGGCATCCTAACCTTTATTCCTGGCTACCTAACCTTTATTCCTGGCTTCCTAACCTTTATTCCTGGCTTCCTAACCTTTATTCCTGGCATCCTAGCCTTTATTCCTGGCTTCCTAACCTTTATTCCTGGCAACTAACCTTTATTCCTGGCTACCTAGCCTTTATTCCTGGCTTCCTAACCTTTATTCCTGGCAACTAACCTTTATTCCTGGCTACCTAGCCTTTATTCCTGGCTTCCTAACCTTTATTCCTGGCTTCCTAACCTTTATTCCTGGCTAGCTAACCTTTATTCCTGGCTACCTAGCCTTTATTCCTGGCTTCCTAACCTTTATTCCTGGCATCCTAGCCTTTATTCCTGGCTTCCTAACCTTTATTCCTGGCTACCTAACCTTTATTCCTGGCTACCTATCCTTTATTCCTGGCTTCCTAACCTTTATTCCTGGCTACCTAACCTTTATTCCTGGCTTCCTAACCTTTATTCCTGACTACCTAACCTTTATTCCTTGCTACCTAGCCTTTATTCCTGGCTTCCTAACCTTTATTCCTGGCTGCCTAACCTTTATTCCTGGCTACCTAGCCTTTATTCCTGGCTTCCTAACCTTTATTCCTGGCTACCTAGCGTTTATTCCTGGCTTCCTAACCTTTATTCCTGGCTTCCTAACCTTTATTCCTGGCTTCCTAACCTTTATCCCTGGCTACCTAGCCTTTATTCCTGGCTTCCTAACCTTTATTCCTGGCTACCTAGCCTTTATTCCTGGCATCCTAGCCTTTATTCCTGGCTTCCTAACCTTTATTCCTGGCTACCTAACCTTTTTTCCTGGCTACCTAGCCTTTATTCCTGGCTTCCTAGCCTTTATTCCTGGCTTCCTAGACTTTATTCCTGGCATCCCAGCCTTTATTCCTGGCTTCCTAACCTTTATTCCTGGCTTCCTAACCTTTATCCCTGGCTACCTAGCCTTTATTCCTGGCTTCCTAACCTTTATTCCTGGCTACCTAGCCTTTATTCCTGGCATCCTAGCCTTTATTCCTGGCTTCCTAACCTTTATCCCTGGCTACCTAACCTTTATTCCTGGCTACCTAGCCTTTATTCCTGGCTTCCTAGCCTTTATTCCTGGCTTCCTAGACTTTATTCCTGGCATCCCAGCCTTTATTCCTGGCTTCCTAACCTTTATTCCTGACTTGCTAACCTTTATTCCTGGCTACCTAGCCTTTATTCCTGGCTTCCTAACCTTTATTCCTGGCTTCGTAACCTTTATTCCTAGCTTCGTAACCTTTATTCCTAGCTTCGTAACCTTTATTCCTGGCTTCCTAACCTTTATTCCTGGCTTCCTAACCTTTATTCGTGCGTGTGTACGTGTTCTTCACTGTTGTAATATTGAGAACATGGCTATCTACCAAGCAATACTAAACCACAGGAAAATTTTTAATTTTCCCGGAGTCGCCATGAAGCTGAAGAAAATAATGGCTACCCTGTCTTCTGTCGCATTTCTACAGAAGACAGGGAAGGAAGCCGGTACCAAGGAACGGACACTGAAGGGAGAGAAGACAAGCAGGGATAACTAAAACAGAAGCTGGTGCACAACGACGTCAACAAAAGTACCATCAAAGACCTGGCAATAATTGTAAAGAAGAAAACGATACTTTCACGGAAAATAAATAAGAAAACTGCAAAAAACGCGATGAAAGATTCAAGATTTTCTTGGGGGGGAGGGGGAGGGAGGAAAATAATGGTTATAAGACTGTGTGTAGACACACGTGAGCAATACAAACAAAGCAACACCTAATTAAGACAATGTTTGGTTCTGTGAAGAGTTTTATTAAATCTTAATGACTTAATGAAGCTCTATAAAGAGCGACAACTCTGTTTTATTTAAGGTTTGTTCTGCCCTATGAGGATTATGGTACTGAACCATAACATTGATACCATGCCTAACCCTTCTAGGGTAGGGTAGGTGCCTGAGCCCGAGCCTTTAGCTCACAAGACTGTCATTCCCATTTACCCCCTTGGGACGGGGATGGCAGACCAGAGAGGCCTAGCTTGTGGCTAGGCCTGGGGACAGTTGGTCCCAAAGATGGGGAGGTACTTGTGCCTCCTCCCATGGGAGACTTAGGTCTCAGACACTCCCTAAAGAGGGAGCCAAGGCCGGGCCACCACTTGGAAAAGGCCCGGGCCGGGAGAATACCGGCGAATCTTTAATAATAATAATAATAATAATAATGAACCATAAAACAGACGAGTGATGAAAAAGCAAATAATATCATGGTTATGACATTATACAACCATGAGAAAATGGGAAATGGACCAGTAATCTAGACACACGAATGTAATTTTAATACTGATGCATTTTAAGTAAATCTTACTACAGTTATATTGGCTCACTTATCGAAGAGAACATTAATATCTGATATAACTGTACCAGCATTTAGCCCAAATAATAAATATATATATATATATATATATATTATATATATATATATATATATATATATATATATATATATATATATATATAATATATATATATATATATATATATATATATATATATATATATATATATATATATATATATATATATATGTCGTGTCGAATAGGTATAACTTGCGATTTTGGCTTTAATAGCAACTCTCTTCTTGCTGAATAAGGCAAGCGAAAAATTGTGTATTCAATAATTTCGTAAAAATCATTCTGAAAATAACGAAAAAATATATTTCATTGTGTTCGTTTGTTATTAAATTATTGCAAACTTATCTAAAATATATTTTGTTTGATTAGGATAAATTAAATTACGCTTGTTATAATAAGGTTAGGTAAGTTTTCTAAGGTTCTTTTGGCACAAAATTATTAATTTTTACATTAACATAAATAAAAAAAATATCTTTAAACGTATATGAGAAAATTTGAGAAAGGACTTAATTTTTAACGAGTTCTTGTTACTTGACCAATTTTACCTATTCGGCACGACATGTATATGCTTAAATAGTAAATTACGATATTGATAAACACTAGGCTTTGCAAAAATTTGATTTTTTTTTTCAGATTATTTGTAAATGCCAGATACTCTCTCCAAGGAATAAATTTTATTCGCATTTATTTACTTCCAGTGGGGTCATAACTAGAAAAGAATATAATGGTATCACTTCTTAATCAAGTGTGGATCAACTACTAAACAGCAGCGGCCTCCTTCCCTATCATCATCTTTATCATCAGTTCGGAAAGAAGCAATTGAAACTTTACACTTAGTACTAGCAATAGTTTGTCTATGAGAAGGCTGGAAACAACTCAACTGCCGGACAACTGACAAAACAAAAAAAAAAGCAGGAGGACCGTCTGTGGGTTCTTATTTACTGGCTAGCATCACTGACATGAATATAATGCAGTGTTGGAAAAGGTATCGGAAAGAGACTGGTCGAACAACTGAGGAGAAAGGGTTCAGGAAAGGCCTTCGACGTGACACCTCACCAGACGTTGCAGAAACTGACAGGGGCAAAATGAAGAGTGTTTCAGTTGGGGGTCAAGGAATATCTGAAGGAAAGAAAACGGAGAGTATTGCAAGAGAGAAAGTCTGGGACTGGGCAAGGTTGACGAGTTGGGCTCCGAAGTTTCTCTGTTAGGAGCCCAGGAACAACTCCAAATAGCTGCTGGAATCCAACCACTAATGAATGAAAGAACATAAAATGGAGAGAAGTACAAAAACAAACCCATTTGCTGTATCACATCCA